GGAAGGCGGGCCCCGGCCCCGGCGGAAGCGAGAGGAGGTCCGCTTTCGGGCGGCGGCGGCGGCAGCCACCGATGTGTCCCCGCGGGGCTTGTAGTCCCTGCGGCTCTTCACGTAGTCCTGCCCCCCGCCCCGCCTCTGCCAAGCTGCCGGGACGCTCGGGGGCTGCAGTGGGCGGTTTTACTATCTTAGCAGGGCCGTTTCCGGGAGGCGGAGCTCAGACCCCATTTCCTTTCTCCTCCGCGGGCTAGCGCTCGGGTGGCGTCGGGATCCGCTTGGTCCGGGGCCTCCCGCGCCAGGCCCCGCGCTGCGCCCCAGCCCCAGCGGCAACATGGGCGGCGCCCGGGCCGTGGGCTGGGCGGCGGCGGGCCTGGTCCTCGGGGCCGGCGCCTGCTACTGCATTTACAAGCTGACGCGGGGCCAGCGGCAAGGCGGCCGCGGGCTTCGGCTGCGCCCCTCGCGCTCCGCAGGTGAGGCCACGGGGTGCCCGGCAGGTGGCCGGGGACGGCGGACCGGGTCTGGGTGTTATCCCTGGGGTGAAGGTTGAAGACAGCAGGCGCTCGTGGCTCTCCCGTGCTCGCGGCCAAAGAAGCCGAACCCGGGGAGGGAGGGAGGCTCGTGAGCGTGGCCAGGTCGAGAAGCCCAGGTGCCGAGGACGGATCATCCACTTGATTGGGTGCGTGTGGGCTTCTGAGCTGCCCCCTGCCTCCACTTAGTTCAAAATTCCGGGATGAAAAGTTGCCCAAATTTTCCTGCCTGAGTGCGGCGTCACAGTGGAGGATTGGTTGGGTTTCTCAAAAGCATGTCAGTTGCCCCTCACGTTAAAGCTTGCTCCCGGCCTTTGTGTTACCAAAGGGGTTCCGCCTACCGTGGCCTGGGTGTTACGGGGCCTGGAGCGGTGGATGAAACTGTGCATGAAGTTGCCCTGGGAGAAGTCATTGTGGTTCATATACAAAGTTGCAGAGAGATCCTGGAGATAACAGACATATCTATTTGAAACAGTTGTCTGCATGGGGAAGGGGGTACCGTCCTGGCCAAGAAGTGTATGGTTAGGTGGCTGTCCAAAAGTCGATTGATGCATTCAGCATTCTGAGGATTTGCTGGATGTTCTGGAGGGAAAGTTCAGGTCATGGACGCTGTTACAGAAATAATTAAAAAAATCTCTTGCCAGCCAAGAAACTCCTCTCTACAAATATAGAAAAGAACTAAAGTTTTATTGTTGAATGAGCATGAAACTAGATTGCTGTGCCCATCCCAGGCAATCAGCTAATGGGATTGAAGACAGAATTCTCACCCCTTTATGTACCTAGGCAGATAAAATCTATTTCATATTACCTGCATGTTCTCAAGAAAAACAGTAATTTGTCCTTAAGAAAGGGCTTGATCGAGCACCATTTACACGTAGTTCATCCTAAATTCACTGGTAATTGAGGTGGCTATTTGTGTTAGCTAATTGCCTTTATGCAAAGGAAAAATAAGACTTCTTAGCATCTTTATGATAAGCAGGTGGTTACAACACAGAGCCAGGTGCCAAGGCTAAACTCAGAGATCTGGGCTCCCTCTTTCTTGATGTTTACATTTCAAACAGATGACCCTAAAGCCCCTAAGAAAGACTTTCTTGTGTTGTAAACTGGCAAGAGGGTTACTTAGCTTTTAAAAACATATTCATTTATATCGAAGAGACAAAGGATTTACAGTTATAGCTGACTTTTGAACAAGGGGGTTTTGAACTGCGCAGGTTTACTTACGTGGAGATCTTTTTTCAGTAACTTGTACAGTTCTGTAAATGTATTTTCCTTATGATTTTCTTAACATTTTCTCTAGCTTATTTTATTGTAAGAATACAGTATTTAAGACATATAACATACAAAATATATGTTAACTTACTGTTTTCAGTAAGGCTTCCAGTTAATGGCAGGTTATTAGTAGTTAAGTTTAGGGGAGTCCAAAGTTATACATGGATTTTCAACTGCTCTGGGGTTGGCACCCCTAAACCCTGCATTGTTCGAGGGTCAACTGTACAAGTTTACTTAAGGAGATACTCGGAGAAAACAGTAGGGAGGTCTCTTTCCCTTTTGGCACAAAGGAAAAAGCGATTTTCAAAAAAGGATTTTTATTTACCCTCACTTACAAAGCCTAATTTGTTGTCTTTGTGTGAGAGAGATTTCTGGATTCAGATACCTTCTCACTTACACTGACTCAACCTGGTGAACACTGACAAAGTCTTACTTTTAAACTTAATTTTACCAGTTTCCAAAGTCACCATTATCTTAGGTCAGGCAGCTTACAAAGTAAGTTGCTCATGGTCCCTTCTTCCTGAAGCTACATACCTTTATCTTTGAGGACTTGACAGGTACCCATTTTTTCAGCATCATCCTTAGATTTAAGAAGATGATGTTTTTTGTTTTAATTGAGATATAATTGATATATAATATTATGTTAGTGATAGGTATACAATATAATGATTTGATATATGTATACATTGGATATCAAATATATATAATGTTTATATATTTGGTTCAATTTGATATATTTGATTCAGGTATTTGTATTTGTACATATTACAGAATGATCACCACAATAAGTTTAGTTGACATCTCTCACCTCACATAGTTACAGATTTTTTTGTTGTTGTGATGAGAACTTTTAAGATTTACTCTCGGCAACTTTCAAGTATACAATACAGTATTGCTTGCTAACTGTAGTCAGCAAGCTGTCCATTGCTTCCCTAAGATGTATTTATCTTTAAGTTTGTACTTCTCACCACCTTCATCCGTTTTACACTTCCCCTTCGCCTGCCTCTGGCAACCCCAGTCAATCTGTTTGTATTTATGAATTAGACTTTTTTTTCTTCTTTTTTAGATTCAACATATAAGTGAGATTATTTAGTATTTGTTTTTCTTTCCTGACTTGTTTCACTTAGAATAATGCCCTCAGAGTTCACGCAGGTTGTTGCAAATGGCAGGATTTCCTTCTTTTTTATGACTAATATTCCACTATTCCAATATTCCATATATATATCTAGACCATATTTTCTTTATCCATTCATCCATCAGTGGACACTGAGGTTGTTTCTCTGTCTTGCTGTTATAAATAATGCTGCAGTGAATGTGGGGATGCATGTGTCTTTTCAAGATAGTGATTTCATTTTCTTCAAATAAATTCCCAGAAGTGGAATTGCTAGATTGTGTGGTAGGTCTATTCTTAATTTTTTGAGGAACCTCCAAGCTGTGTTGCATAGTGGCTACACCAATTTACATTCCCACCAACAGTGCACCAGGGTTCCCTTTTCTTTACATCCTCACCAACACTTGTTATCTCTTCTCTTTGGGGTTTCTTTTTTTTTTTCCTCTCTCTTTGATACTGGCCATTCTAACAGGTGTGAGGTGATACCTTATTGTGGTTTTGATTTGCATTTCCCTGGTGATTACTGATGTTGAGCATGTTCCTGTATCTGTTGGCCATTTATATGTCTTCAGAAAAAAATGGCTATTCAGATCCTCGCTTTTTTTTTTTTTTTTTAATTATTTGGATTTTTTTCTGTTGAGTTGCATGAGTTCTTTATATATTTTGGATATTAACTGCTTATCAGATATATGACTTGGGGATATTTTCTCCCATTCCATAGGTTGCCTTTTCATTTTATTGATGGTTTCCTTTGCTGTGCAGAAGTTTTTAAATTTGATACAGTCCACTTGTTTATTTTTGTTGCTTTTGGTCTTGGTGTCAAATCTAAAAAATCATGCAAAGACCTATGTCAAGTTGCTTACTATGTGTTCTCCTAGGAGTTTGATGGTTTGAAGTCTTATGTTCAAGACTTTATTATGAGTTGATTTTTGTGTATGATGTAAAATAGTGGTCCAGTTTCATCTTTTTACATGTGGCTGTCCAGTTTTCCCAGTACCATTCACTGAAGAGACTGTCTTTTTCCCCGTTGTATTTCTTTGGCTGCTTTGTCATAAATTAATTGACCATAGATGCATAGGTTTATTTCTGGGCTGTTCTGTTCCATTGATCTCTGTGTCTGTTTTTATGCCAATACCATACAGTTTTGATGACTATAGCTTTGTAATGTATTTTGAAAGCAGGGCGCACAGTGCCTCCAGCTTTGTTCTCAAGACTGCGTTGGCCATTTGGGGTCTTTTATGATTCCATATAAATTTTAGGATTGTTCTATTTCTGTGAAAATGCCATTGGAATTTTGGTAGGGATTGCATTGGATCTGTAAATTGCTTTGGGTAATATGGACCTTTTAATAATATTAATTCTTCCAGTCCGTGAGCATGAATAACTTCCCATTTATTTGTGTCTTCTTAAATTTCTTTCATCAGTGTCTTACAGTTTTCAATCTACAGGTCTGTATACCTCCTTGGTTAAATTAATTCCTAGGTATTTTGTTCTCTTTGGTGTAATTGTAAATGGAGTTGTTTTCTTAATCTCTCCTTCTGATAGTTTGTTATTAGTGTATAGAAATGCAACTCATTTTCTTATATTGAATTTGTATCCTGCAATTTTGCTGAACCTGTGTATCCTCAGCTTTTTGGTGGAGTCTTGAGGGATTTCTCTATATAATATAATGTCACCTGCATATAGTTTTAACTTTTTCCTTTCTGACTTGGATGCCTTTTATCTCTTTTTTCTTGCCTAATTGCCCTAGCCAAGGCTTCCAGTACTGTGTTGAATAAAAGTGGTGAGAGTGGACATCCTTATCTTGGTTTTTTTTTTAGATTTTATTTATTTATTTGACAGAGAGAGATACAGCGAGAGAGGGAACACAAGCAGGGGGAGTAGGAGAGGGAGAGAGAAGCAGGCTTCCTG